TTGTGTCAGACTGAGCTACATACCTTAATCAAAACAGCCTCAAAGCTAGATTGCGCACAGCAAACATTAATTACCTACTTTTTCTAAGTCCTGGAATTTGAGAACAGGGAGGAGCTAAGGATCTTTGACAATAGACAATCCTTGCCCTCTGTAGACTCTCAACTGAATATGGAGTAGAGATCTGCATTAATAACTCCAAGGGGACATTTCCCAAAGGACGCCTCAGGAACACTATTTTGCAGAGTGAATTCCATGGTGAAATAACATTGGGAAACATGAGCTAAGTCCTGTCAAATAGATTACTTTACTAGGGTGCCTTAGAGAGCTTTTTATAAACAAAGATCCAGTATAACTCTTAAACGTGGCAGAGTGGGGATGGTTTCTGCTGGCCTTCCCAGCCTTGGCCTTGACCCCCTGATGAAAGGGACACCCTATGGAACTGGAGTTTCATGAAACCTTCCCCAAGAAGTGCTGTCTAAATGTAAGGCAAACTATGATATTATGTGCCTTTTTCTCCCAAAGCAGAGACTCTAGGGAGATAGGATAATTTCAACACAGACTTTACTGTGAAAGATTTGAGCTAAATTAGACCAAGCTTATTAAGTGCAAGCATGTATTCCAAATGTCTGCAATTATGCCAGTGTCTGGCAGAAAAATGACCTGAAAATAGGCAACAGATCTCAGAGCCACATGTGGCTCCAATTCCTCTATCTGAGAATTACACGCTACTGATGAATACGCATCTCAGCGGGGCCTGTTTCTGTGTCTTTATCCCTTCTGGGCCATTTCTATTCTTTCCCCTGGCTCCTTCCAAAAGCTACAGTGGGGATTCCTTAGTTGTCCCTTACCTCTGAGTTTTAGAAACATGCTCTCTCAATCTCATGCTGCCTAAGTAGGGGTAGGATTCAGTAAGAACAGGATCTAGGGTAGGTTTCCTCACCTAAGAACAGTGATGCCATCATCAAGACTAGGCAAGGCTGGGCTTCCTATGAAGGCCAGGGCCCTGGACATGAGAGTCCCTGGGCAGAGGTAGGGGTGAGATGGTCACAAGGGGTAGAGCCACAGGTAACAAACTCTGCAATGAGCTCCATCAAGAACAGACAGAGATCAGACAAGGAGCAGGATGGTGTCTTCCTAAGTATATTCCTGGAATAATGCTTCTTCAAAAATGTTGGGCTGTTTCAGTAAAAGAACTCTTGCCCGGACAGTCTAACACAAATGAGGTAAAACAAGCTTCTCATGTGATAGGGTGATGAGAATTGCACTGGGCTGCTGAGTAGGATCTCCTAGATGCTACTCCAGGTGGTAGCCAGGTGTGATCAGCAGTCTTCCTGATTCATTTATTTGCACTGCTGGGTTATAGTACCTGGGTGGTTAGGTCCAGAGCCCATGCAGATGTGAGTATATAATTTTTATTGTTTATGAGTACAACTTGAACTTTTGTTCTTAGAAATGGGATGAGTAAGAAATCTAAGGAAAAGGATGTTAGTTTTTAAGTGGTATCCTCCCCGACTGTGACCTGCTGTAGTTTGAGTTTGTCTCCCACAGGTTCCTGGTTTGGAAGTTTGGTCCTTAGAGGGTCACTATTGAAAGGAAATGGGAACTTTAAGGTATGGGGTGTAGTGAGTGAGTGTAGGATGGGTCTCTCCCCTGTTTCCTGGATTTCTGTCTCACCATGTGATCTCTCCTACTTGTCCTTGTCCCATCGTTGTGATGACATTCACCACGAATGACACAGCTTGGTAGCGGGGAGCATAAGAGCCAGCACAATGCTGTTTGGACTTTCAGCATCTCCACCTGTGAATTAAGTAAATTTCTTTTCTTTGTGAAGTACCTGGCTTTGGGTATTTTATTACAGTAACAAAAAAAAAATGGAATAATTCTCCGTTGGTTACTTTTCTCACATTGCTGGGACAAAATACTTGACACCCAAAATTAAGGAAGGAAAGGTTTATTTAGCTCACAGTTTGTGGAGGTTTCAGTCCATACTTGGCTGGCTCCAAGGCAGAGTGGCACGTGGCACAGGGCAATCATTCATGGCAGTGGAAGACAGCAAAAGCAACAAGAGCACAAGGAGAGGAATGGTGGAAAGCAGCCTCTTTCCCTCCCTTATATTGTACGCAAACTATCTGCCCCAGGGCAGATGTAGCACTCACACCCGTAATTCCAACATTGGACCATGAATCAATCATAAACTCTTGAAGCCTGCTCCACGACTGCATGAGGCTTTGGGGGGACATCCAGACACAAACCATAACAAGTACATAACCCATAGAGAAGCAAGGATCCTGGTATTTGTACAGAAGCAGCAGTGTCTGAACCAGCACAGGATGACCTTGGCTCTGAGAGAGGGTCTGATTCCATCCTGAGAGTACCATGTCACCCTGGGACACAGAAATGATGGCAGTATAGTATGTACCAGCCACACAGAGAAAGGAGAGCTCTTTTGTGATGCAAAGCCTATTCTGCCTGCAAACATCTTTCTCCACAATTATGAGATGCTACATGCTCTAGGCTTGCTGGCAACATTTCTTAAGTATAAATGAAGTCTCATTTTTTTAATTACTGGAAAAATACCGATGAAAATGAAGTTCCACTGAACTGGCTTTCACATTCTCTAACAGGACACAGTGGGCTAATCAGGACTGCAGAACAGTGCCCAGCAACAGTGCGGGAGCCAGCTCCCAGGAGACTCCAGCGAGCAGCTGCTATCAAATCATCCTCCACTTCCATTGTCAGACACTGATTGGGAATTTCACAAGAGAGAACTAGTTCGCTTGCTAACCTCAAAAACACCTGAAAAGCTCCCCATAACTGCAGGACCAAAGGCAACTGGAGTTTCACTCAGAGACCTCATCCTATGTGTATAAGTAGATGGCAGAAGGTTTAAAATCATGTGGAGATAAGGGCTGTATTGCAGGCCATTAATTTCACAGCACTGTATCTTATTGCAAGATCTTGTGATTGACACATTCCAGACAAAAATGTGGCTCCAAGAAGGATATAGGTGTTCTCAGGGATTCAGACTCCTTAAGCAGGTGGCCTGATGTCCCAGGGATTAGTCTGTACTTGTTTCCAGCCCCTTCTCCATTCCTTCTGGCCCATGATGTCCTAGCTAGGAACCCTGAGCACGCCCAGGCCAAGCTTCTCTGTTGTGGACCCATAAACTTTTATTCATCCTACAAAGACTAATGTTAAAGATTTTAAGGATTGTTTTCATCTGCTTTCAATCTTCTCAGGGAGGATTTCCCACATCTCCATGACTGAGAGGACTGCACATTCAGGTTCCTGCCCCACGTTTCAAGCCCCACCTTCCAAAGCCTGACTTCTGAATGATTATTCTCTGGCTTGGTTGATTTCCTTGCTGACTCATGGATGGGCGTGGTAGGACAGAGTCCCTGCGTGAAGGTCAGTCCCGGGGGAGGGATGCAGTAAGGACATGGGGGGAGTGAGGAAAGCTGAGACCACAGAAGCTAGAACATGTTGAAGCTTTGCAGACTGTCTGAAGCATTGGGTTCAAATGAAAGGAAAGTGGAGGAGGTGGAGGAGAGACCAGGAGATATTTTAAAATCTACACATTCATTCAAATAAAACATGCCAAGTGTACATGATGTGCCCGGTACCTAGTCTGTATAATAACCCCATGTGGTGGGGTATACTCTTATTTTAAAGATAACAAAATTGAAGCTCAGAGAAGTTGAGGATCCTGCAGGATCCACATAATTAGTAAGTGGCAGGCGGGGGCGGTTTGGCTCAAACTCAAAATTTTCTGACTCCGAAGTCTAAGTCATTTTTCACTGCTCTTTGGAGGGTCACTTAAGGGCATGTGTAGTGAGAGGAATGTAGTAGTTTCTTTTTTTTTTTTTTTTTTTCATTTTCTTTTTCTTTGATCACAAGGTTGCTGGAGTCTCAAAATGTGAAAGGCTTATGGCATATGTATCGGTACACATCAGCTCTTGCCTTCTCACTAACATGAAATGCTGGGAGCAATCCCATGGGAATATTGAGGGATGACGGCAGTATGACCTATTTCTCCTCTCAGTCTCCCACAGTGAACGGCTCAAGTCACAAGTCTTGGAAGTTTTCACAGAATTTATCCATATAAAATTGGGTCAGATGTCAAATTACTACTCTGCTGTTTGGGAACATCTGTCCTCCCCTCTGCTCTTTTATCAGACCTCCTAGCTCTTCAGGAACTAAAACAAAGACTTCAGTAGATCTGAGTGAGAGACAGATTATGTGCATGCATAGAAAGCTCATTTCCCAGTTGGCCTGGATTTAGGGATTAGATGCCCAGGTCCTAGGGCTGAGTTGACCTTGAGAGTAACCTCCTGGCCTGGGGGCAGCTTGCTTCACACAACCCTAGGCATTTTTGAATCCCCTGAACAAAGGGTGGGGGGCTTGGACAAATTGTGTGAGGATAAAGGGAGATCCGTGGTTTCTGACCACCCTGGCATTCACTAGAGCCGACTAGCAGTTTTATCATAAGATTCTACATTCAGCCTTTTCTCAGTGCAGTGCCTGTTTGGAAACAGATAAAATTTCAGAATAATAAATGGCATTAGCGACTCAGAGATAATCATGACACTACATATGCTGATTGATATAAAAATCTGGTCTCAAGCCAAGAGTTTCATTATTACCCAGATTTAGTATCTGGATTAATACTTATGAGTCCTTTTTTCTTTTTCTTTTTCTTTTTTTTTTTGTCTTTTTGAGACAGGGTCTCGCTATGCAGTTCAGGCTGGCCTTGAGCTCACTTTGTGCTCACTTTATGCAGTTAAGGCTGGCCTCCAACTTGCAACGATCCTCCTGCCTCAGTTTCCTGAGTGCTGGGATTATAGGCATGCACCACCACACCTGGCATGAGTCCTTTTTATTAGTGAAGGCTGGCCCCTTGCTTTTGACCAACTCTTTATACCACTTGGTTTTCCTTTTTCTCTATCAGTATCTTTCATAGACTGTACACAGAGTAGGGAGAATGGTTCCACAAAGGTTACCTTGCCAACAAGCGCCGACAGTAAGCTGCATGGCAATGTGAGATGGATGAATGGGCCAGTCATTGGTCACCAAGTATGGCTCGTAGGTTGCTCCATCCATGTAGAGGGTGACCACAGGAAACTCCACATTGATGACATAGTAATGCCACTCTTTGTCACAAATCTAATGAAAAGAAAGGGAAACAACACTTACAAATCAAATATGCAATGCAACATCACACTTTTTAATTCTAATTACAAAATTGGAGAAGAGATTTTTGAGTCAAAAATAGTTATTGCAGAGAATGCAAAAAACATAATGATTGACATATACTCAGGTTATAGAAGCTCATTGTCAAACATAAGGAGAACTCTCTTCTGGTATTTCTGACAATCCAATCACAATGCAAATATATCACCTTTCAGTATTCAGGGGATTGACTTCAGGACCTCCTGTGGATCCCAAAACCTGCAGATTGTTCCTCATATGAAATAATTTAGCACTTGTGTATAGCCTCTGTATGTCCTCCTATATACTTTAGCTCATTTTTAGATTACTTGTAATACATACTACAATGTAAACATGATGGAAATTGTTATTATATATTATTTATGGAATAATGACCAGAAAAAATCTGTTCTTGTTCAGTGAAGATGCTTTTTTTTTTGCGGTACTGGGGATTGAATCCAGGGCCTTTCCACTGAGCTGTATCCCTAGAAATTGTTTTTATTTTTTATGTTGAGTCAGGTTCTTGCTAAGTTGGTGGAATCCACAGGTGTAGAACCTGCAAATTCAAAGGGCCAACTGTATTTGGCTATAGGCAGAGGACCTTGGTCACAGAATTACTAGCTCTCTAGGCTAAGAAGCTTTTGGTAAACAGTGGTGTCACCGTGCAATTCTTTGAATACAGTTCTCCTAGTTCTTTAGTAGAGAAAAATGTTCAACTGGAATCATTTTCCCATGTTTGGGGATAGATGTGACTACAAGGCAGGTATAAGGCTGAAAGTAGAAATAGGGATAAAGATAACAGGGAGCAGAAGGGAGCAAAGAGGAAAGAGAAAGAAGAAAATGGAAGAGGAAAGAGTGAGGAGCTGGAGAGGAGTCAGAGGGAAGGCCGTGAAAGAGGAAGATGGAGAAAGAATTGTCTCTATTTAAAAGATTTGTCTTTGTCTTTATTTAAAGGTTTATCTGAGGAGCTGGTACAATCTCATGGATCTTACAACTCAAACGAAGTAACTTCCAGGAGAGATAGTCTTCCCAGTAGGACTCAGCTCCTCCCTGCCCTGAACCTGAGAAGGAAGAGAAGGACCACAAATGGATGCTCATGAGCTGGACTTGGTGGAGGGCACTCACTCACACATGTCCTCTTACAGGAACCCAGGACTCCTGCCCCCAGGGCTTGGAAACAGCCTTGACGGTTTGCTGAGAGATACTGGTTAGTGATGTTGGTGGAGGGTGGCGTTACAATCCCTGACCTCAAGGGGTCAGTCTCCTGTGTGCTGGGATTACAGGCATGTGCCACCACACCTGGCATGA